ATATAGTTCTTTTACTCACTTGGACGTCTTCTCAAACATTTTTGCAACTAAATAAAAGCGAGATTTGAACATTTTGCAAGAACCTTTGTTTATGTTTAAGTAAGCAGACTTTTGTGTCATTAAGTACATATTTAAGTTTGTTGAACAAGAACAAAAACGGGGTAGTGGCACAAAATGAAAGATAAAAGGATCTGGTATACATGTCCCGTAACGTTGGTAATCTATGATAAACAAAGAAGCGAGCGTCATACTGTTATTTAGATTTTGAAAATCTTTATGTCAACCTTGCGTAAGTTTGTCTTTACTGGTTTGTGTACAGACGATCTATACCCGCAACATATACTTGGATGTATTAGTAAAAATGGACTTAATGTGTTTGGGTGCTTGCTATAGTGATGATAAGTATGCTAGTATCGCTGACTATTCGCTAGCGTAGTGAGTTCAATTGTCATCGGATGCCCAGGAATACGACTCAGTGCACAAGTAAACTAAACAAGTATAAAAAAAATTTCAAAGCTTGATTTAAATATTTTGATATATCTATCGCGTCGTTGATTAATCTTGTTAATTGTTCATTTCTTCGCTATCAATTTCAATTGGTCAAATCAACCTTGTATAGTGAGAAATCTCCAGGACTAAATTTTGTAAACCATTTTTGACACGTTCGATCATTCATGATACCTTCACCATAATAAGCTGTAAAAGTTAATTTTTACGTTTAAATCGCATTTCATATATCTTTCTTAAAATAATATAATGAAAATGTTATTTTTGCATTCTTTAATGTTATAACAAGTGCGCTAATTGTACCAAATGAGCTTTTAAATACATGCTGATATGCAGATGTCACAAAAGACAGAAAGCGATCTTTTTTTAATTAAGTTAAAAGCAAACAGTGTTAATACCACCTAATTGCTAAATGAGAAATGAATTTTTAGACACTATACATTACAGCTGACCAAAAGTTCGACTTAATAAATGTCAGTCTGATCAAGTGTGTGAGATGGAGGAGGATTCACTAAAAAATAAAATGCATTGAGAGTGCGCTAATCTCACAAACTCACTTTGTCCCCATATAATAATTATTAGTAAGATAAAATAGTTCACTTATATAAATCAATACTCAGAGCGTTCATATTTAACTAAATAGACATACATGCATACATATATCGGAGTATTGATCTACGGCTGTTGAAGATTTTAGATTTTCTTTGAATCTGTTGATTCCAACCGAAATATGTTCCATCTCGTTAACAGAGAAAATAATGTTTTTCAACAACACTTGGTCGAAATGTTGTAGTCGCAATATCATTAGGAGCAGCTTTCGATCATGCAATTATAAATTCTGGCAGCAATTGTTTTTGCAAACAAAAGAAGAAACGTTTTAAGTCTATGAAATTTATTAATCGGTTTTGCTGAAATACGAATAATTTTTTTCCCAAATGTAGCTGTTGTAGATGTAAAATTGCAAAAATTTGTATTAGGGTCAAGCTTTCGACTCACAAGAGTCATCATCAGGGGCGTGAGGAAGTAAAGAGTAGGAAAGAAAATGACCTGCATTTTAAGCAGCGCATTGCATATTAACAAACTCAAAGAAAACCAAAAGTCTTAAAAAATAGCAATTCAGTATTGCGCTACCATTATTTAATTCAACATTTTCACACAAAAAGACGAAATACATAAACATAACATCCTAAAGAAGCGCGCACACACACACGCGTGCGCGCACACACACACACACAATATATATATATATATATATATATATATATATATATATAAATTTATGAAATTTGTGGAGTCAACTGAATGTAATACGACTCACTGTGCAAAGAGCAAGCATCTTTCACAGATTAAAGCAAAATGTTCCACTAACGTTTGAATATCATCTGAAAAAGAGATGAAATAAAAAAAGGGAATTTTGAATTATAGTGTTCATAAGAGCCTCTGGAGTTACGGTCATTTAGCATACAACAATATCATCATCATCATCATCATCATCATCATCATCATCATCATCAATAATAATAACAATAATAATAATAATATGGTTAAAGGCTCTGAAAGCTTTATATTTAATTTTTAATCTATGCCCAGATGCCGATATGTTCTATACGGAGAATCATATGCATATGCCTAACAACCATTTTCTCATCACGTCTGCAGAGAGACGGAACCATAATGAACTTTTTAATATGATATACAAATAATATTGAATAAAATGACAATTATTGGCTAACTCTCAAATCAATAAATCAGCATTTTCGCGAATTATCCCTGAAACTAGTGCCAATGTTCAGAAAATCATTTCAGGTCATATAAAAGGTCAAACGTGCGCACTTGAAAATTGGGGGAAAATTAAGCCTGGAAGACAGAGAAGTAAATAAAACAAAATAAAAGTTATCAGTCAGAGGAAAAGCCAAGTGCTAATCATTTGCCGTTCGCCTTCGTGGAAGGAATTTATTGACTTCGTATTTCCTGCAATCTAAACAAGTTTTCAACATAATGATATGCGCGCGCATGCATTTTACGAACGGCGAGACTGCATGGGTTCCAATACTAATGAGCCTGAAAAGAGGGTTTATGTCTCGCAGATAAACAGCGGTTTTGTAATCTAAGCGAGAGAAAGTAAAGACAGCCGAAAGCAACGAAGAGGAATTAATGAAATTGGAAGATGGTTGTTCTCTGAAGAAGCTGGACTGCAAGAGAGGTTCAAGAAAGATAGGGAAGAAGAAAAGCAAGACATGACATTGAAGCGAAGAATGAAGAGCAGATTTTGGAATCAAGGCTCACGGCGAAGAAAAATCAAGAACAGTGAACCAAATACTAGAAAGAAGCTGCAGCAAAGATTTGAGAATAGATTTGGCGAAGAGAACTTTTAAAAACGAAGATCAAGAAAAAGGGATTAAATAAGAGAAGCTAATAATGTCGTATACATTTGTGTAAACAGAAGCAACATAGTTGTGGAGAAATTGATATTGTTTGCCATTTTTGTTATTCATTTAACTTGCTTTTAATTGAATAACTCTTGTCCCCAGAGTAAAGTTTTTTTCCAACATAAACTGGGTTTATTTCAATATTTGCAGCTATTAATGAGCAATGTGAGACATATACATCATAGAAAACTCAGAGAACATTAGATTGCATAATTCAATTCTTTTCATTGTATCCATAAGCACACAATTTGCTGACCCAACTGGGCATAGATCCTATTGTTTCATAATGCCTGGTCAAATATATCACAAACGTTAAAACGCCATAATACCATGTAGCAGTCGACTTGGTGGCCGGGACTTCGAGTTCTCCTTATTCTCTGTTGATAAAATGTTTAAACATTTTTACTAATAGTTTTATGAACTGTGATTTATATGACATAAATTACAATGTTTATTAGCCTAATTCGGAATTGATCAATAGATGAGATAAAGAACATATTTCTTGGTCCTACCACATGGATCGATCGATGTATGAAATATCATAGCAGATTTCCTGTTTTTAAAACAAGAATTGATATCTACACGAGATCGATTTATACAAAAGAAATGATAGGGTCTATGAAGAGAAGCGATGATCAAGAGACAAAAATCAGAGAATGAAAATCGAACAAAGAATATCGATTCAACTTCAAAATAAAAAAGCATTCGGAAAATAAACGAAAGAAATTTGAAGGCGAAATATTTACTTTTATGGTAAGGGTAATACTGGGATCAGAAAGTACAGTATAATTATTACAAATGCTCAGATTCAAGATAGTATACTCCCGATTAAAGAATTGTTACAAGATAACAGATCATTAATCGAAATTACTTTGCCGAATGTTCTCGAGTTTTGCTGAAAAGTTTCCCTCAGTTTATAAAAAGATCATTTATAATTAATTTATAAAATAAATTTTATCCCCCCAGTTGAATTACTAATGTTTTGGTACAAAAGGGTTAAACAAGGTCAAAATTAAATGTTTTCGACTGTTGAAGGCTAAAATTTCTTTGTGAACTAAAAATATATAATGAACAATTTAACTGAAAACGTATTGAAATAAACGCGAAAATCTATACAAATAAAACATATAGTAACGACATAAGTTTGAAATTTAACGCAGCCACACTTATTGAAGATGTGTGAACCTGTAGATTGTTAAATGTTTTCTTGCGGAGGTGGGAACAGTTTTGTTGTTAAGGAGACATTAGGAAACGATTTACTAGAATTCAGATCAACTGAAAAGCAGGGTTTATATATATATAAATATATATATATAAGGAGAAATATATATATATATAAAGAAGAAGAACCCATTATAAGCTGTATCGTTGATGAAGACGTAGGCACCTTCAAGTAATTCTTATTGTCCTATGAAATGATATGAACGTTAAATACTCTGTACAACACAACATCCCTAAAGGTCTAATAGGTGACTGCCAAGAGAATGACGCGGTAATTGGATTAACATGGCTTTGAAAATAAGAAAAATATTAGTAATTCAAGACTATTAGTCTACCATTTCCAAGAACAAAATCAATGAAACGCACTTAGAACAATGAAAAATGTGATATGAAGCCAACGAAAGTATAACCAAAAGTCTTGGGAAAAAATTCAGTTCAGTTGATATGAAATCAGTTCGTGTGTAAAGTTTGAAGTTACTAATTTATTTATGCGAACCACCATAGAATTTCTATGATTCCTGTTTGTAAAAATAAATGAAAAGAGTAGATGGCATTAATATTTTGTTAGGTGTAACAATATGTAAGAACGTTTTAGGTCAATGCTAATGGGTAGAAAGAAGGTTGATTCAAAAAGAGAGACTAGAAATGAAAAAATTAAGAAGACAAAGAAAAAAAAAAGCGGGCTAGTCGAGGAAAAAAAAAACTTTAAAATCATGCATGAAAAAGGAAACATCTGTGATTGAAAACAACAGAGTTATGAAGAAATTAAGAAGAAAATAGAAAGAACCGAAAAGTAGAAAATAAAATCGAATAAAACAGAGGAAAGAAGCATAAAAAAAGAAGCTACGTAAAGAACGGATTGAAGAAAGAAAGAAAGAAAGAAAGAAAAAAAGAAAGAAAGAAAAAAAGAAAGAAAGAAAGAAAGAAAGAAAGAAACGAATAAACTGATGAACGCATGTCAGCGTCTGATGAAACTGGCGGAGATTCCCGAATGACAGCGTTAAATTCCGCTGATCTTATTACTGACCGAACGAAAGAAGACATTTGTGGTAATTGGAATATTTTCAACAGTGGAGGGCAGCTTGACCTCTTGTTGCCAGTTGCGTAAAGTTTGGTTGTTGCTCGCTGTTCAATTCCCTGAGACAGGAGTGGGGGAAAGTATACGCTGGAACTTTTTTTTAACTCTTTCCAATCGCTAATAGCAAGGATTAAACATGGTATCCGGGCAATATCTCTCTGATTAGAGCCTTTGATTCGAGGCTAATTATAGGATATTCAAACGTTGCATTTTAGACATAAGAATGATTTTTGATTACTTAATAGTCAAGAACGTTGATGACCGTTGTAAAAATCACTCTCCCATAGAGAGGAAGAAAGGTGCTGTGTTTTTTAAGCAATTGATTTTCTACTTGTAAAACTGGAAAATCAGTTAAAATATCTTTATTAAGCGTTATTTAATGCAACAAAAGATAGGAAGTTATAGAGAGGCATGATCATCCACGTCATGTTAGGACATTGGTTGCTATGCGTTTTGCACTATTAGAGTACAGAATTCGGTGTGAGAATAACTTTGGCTCACGAAGGCACACGACATTAACTCTTTTTTTTTATTTTCTTCTTGACAAAGCAGAATTTCTGTAGATGCCCTCGAAAAAAGGATAAAATAAATATTTGTTTTTTTGTTAACTTGATTGATTTACAGAGTAGAGCAAAAGGCATATATGTTCTGAACGGTGTGTGGTGGTGGTGGTGGTGGGGAGCGATATTATATGGCCCGAGCGCCCAAATATGTATGAGGTCACAACATTTATAAATGAAAGGCGTGGAATCTGATAAGTGAAACAAAATGGACGACAGAACGATAATATTTAAGATTAATATAAATTTTGTTCACAATACAGACGAGAGTCATTGTAAGTTAACCGTAGTGCACAGGATAGGTTATTAGAGTCTGGAAGGATATGTATGCTGCAAGTAGGGACCGATGTGTAACCGGAAGTTCGGGGCTGTAGTAAACAGGTCCGTTTATGTCGTCAACCAAGTGGGTTAGATTGAAGTAAGTGATGCCGGAAGCAGGGACGAAAGTAAGAATCTGTAGCAGCAGAAAGTGGCAAGGCGAAGAATACCCGAAGTAAGGGTCTGTGATGACCTGAAGTAGTGAAAGTTAGGAATGCCGAAAGTTGCCAGAAAATAAGAATCAATGGTGACCTGAAGTAATAGAGGGCAGTGTGCTGGAAATAGTAAAGGCCAAGAGTGACCGGAAGTAAGGGTAGATAGGCAGGCCCAACTAGCGTCCAGTTGGCAGACAAAAATATAAATAGGAAGGGTCTACGTTTCTTAATATTTATTCGTATAAAAATACAAAATGTGCTACAAGGGCGAAGAGGGGTGTGCGTGGGGGGGAGAACTGGTCTTCTCTAGTCTTTTACTCATAACTAGCTAGTCACTCTCATTGACCCATTCGGACTTACAATATACCTTTCACCATAACAGCACATTTGCGCTTAGTCGCTTAGCTCTCACACCACGGTCACCAAAATACCTCAATTATTCAATTAGAATCCTAGCATGAAATTTTATTTACACAAAAAGCAGGGCGGGAGATAGATGCATGAATATATACAATGAATGAATTATATATACAAAGATAGTTATGTGTTAGTATCATGAAAGCGTGGCAGAAATCCTGGTTAACTTGGTAGAAGTGTCAGATAGTGGACATATCTGATCTTGCCAGATAACAAGGATATCTGTCACCTAAAAAGGGGGTGGGTGGGAATAAAAATAAATGTGGGACAAAAAATGTGGGGACCTATACACTTGCATACCCTAGCTAGTTTTGACAAATTCGGTCAAATACAAAATCCTATCTTACCCTAACCGGGTCTGGGTTGAATGACGTTTCTCCTAAGTCGCGTCTAACAGCCACTCAAGGTCAGCACCTCTCACACGCACCAATTGCGAAACTCTCACGAATTTCGACACAAAGAGACACACCCTTTCCGCCCTGATCTTAACTTTAAGTTGATGCTTAAAGAAAGAGACCAGTTCAGAAGAGGAGAACTTCTTGCCTCTGTGAAAATCCTACTGTCGCGTCGTCCACACAACCATTCGCATGATGTCGAGCAGGCACAAGAACACGTACTGCTGGTCCCTTGACATTGGCGGCACCATATTGGAATAAACGGTGCTGGCATCCAGGACAAAAAACTTTCCACCCAAGATGAGGACCATGTAGCCTTCAATCAGCCCACACAGCGGGTGTACGACACTACAGTGAAGGAAATGGACTCCTCCCAGTCACCGCAGCGCATGCACACTGGCGTGGCAACCATCCCCGCTGCATAAAGCTTCTTGCCGACCCAGAGAGCCTCTCGCAACACCAGCCAGGTGAGTGATGCCTCGTCGTTGTTGAGACATTTAGCCCGGGCACAGCGTATGTTGACGAGTCTCAACGCTGGGAATTCCTCGCGACGTACCAGATGAGCCTTTCCTCTCCCAAGGAAATCGAAAATGTCACCAACGAACTATTGTCATTCGACAGATGGGAGTGGGAGAACAGTTAAGATACGGGGCTGTCCGTCCTGCTGAAGGGCCCGGGGAGAGGAACACTCAGCCAACCTCAGGCAGACTTATCACGGTTGATCTTGGCCCCCGCAACGTCTCATGCCTTCAAATCTCTTTACCGACTTCGTGAATTTCGGCGGCGTTCTTAACAACCCCGACACGTCGTCTGCATAGGCGGAATACCTAGCAACGAAATTCCGCGAAGGACCGGATTCGCCTTTAACTTGCGTTGGAAGGGCCCAAAGCAAGAACATACAGCATAGGCGAAACTGGACAACCTTGACGAATGGAGCGAGACAAGGTGAAAGGCTCTGACCTCACCCCGTTTACCTCCACCAGAGCCTCAGGGCACTTGTACAAGAGACGGATCCAGGAGCGAAAGTGCGGCCCAAGCCAGCAGATGCGAGAACAACCTCGAGGAAGCGATGGTCCACACCATCGAATGCCTTGGATTGATCCAAATTGATCAGTGCGGCTTCACCGTCGACTTTCTGTATGATCTGGCGAATCATATCAAGGTTTTCCTGAATAGTCCTGCCCTTGCACAAGTCTGGCGAATCATATCAAGATTGTCCTGAATAGTCCTGCCCTGCACAAGTCTGTTCGGAGCCAATCAGGCTACACAGGACAAGCTGCAAACGGTTGGCCAAGACCCTCGCCAAGACCTTGACATCTGCATTTAGCATAGTCAAAGGGCGAAAATTATCTATGCCATCCCCTCCGCCTTTGTCTTTGCAAAGCAACTTGATGACGCCCCTGGTGAAGCGTTGATGTATATTCCCATTGCTCAGCTAGTGGTTGAACATCAGTGTCATCAGAGGTACAAAGACAGGCGACAGCCTCAAGTACAACTCGTAGGGAAGACCGTCTATTCCCGGGATCTTGTCTCGGCCGGCCAGTTTAAGCGCTTCCCAGACTTCCTCCTCTGTCCCCTCACATATATCCGCATCGACCGCCTCGAGACAAGGAAAGTTGGCCAGATAGGTATCGAACCGACCAGAACTCAGGATGTTCACTTCTAAACTTATCGACTAAATCAAAGTCGCGAAATGGTTTGACAACTGGGTTGTAATTTCTCGATCTTACCTCGCTACGATCTAAATCGGGATCAAGGACGGCGTTCTAATCACCCGCTAAAATTACCTGGCGAGACGTCGTCAAAATCGGCTCGATCCGCCGAAAAAGGGCAGCCCGCTCCGCCTGATCGTTGGACGCATAAACCCTGATGAAGCGAAGAGACTTTTCTTTTATGGTGACATCCGGGACACAAAGCCTGCCCTTCGGATCCGCGAACACCAGTGTACACGACGCCGACAAGGACCAGCCAAGAGATCCCCCTGGAGCAGCTATTAAAATACGCTGAGGTAGAACCTCATCTACAGAATATCCTCATAGTCGCTGGCAATAACATGGGTCTCCTGCACACAACACACATTCACACCAAGGCACTGAAGATCGGGTGAGAGTCTCGACCTGCGTGATTCCAACCTCAGGCCTCGGCCATTCACAGTCGCTAACCAAAGAGACATTGAAAGACATTTACCTTAGGGTTGAGCCTCACCCCGAAACATAGTCTGGGTGAGGATGCCGACGGCTTCTCCCATAGATCCGGTGCCCATCTCCGTCTTGATAGTGCCATCTTGGGATATGCCACCGACATCTCAGGGAAAGGTTAGTTTTAAGGCCCTAGAGAGGGATGGGTGCACAAAAACTGGGGCCCTCCCAGCAGAGAATTGTTTCAGATCTTCGTTTTCAGTGATGATAATGGGGGATGTTTGGAAAGTCTTTTTCGCCTCCTCAGTCATGCCCCATGCCTGTCGTGATCCCGACCCGATTCGCACAACGGAGAGGACCATCTTTGCGTGGGGAAAGTTGGTGGGATCCTTCTTCCCACATTTCTTCGTGGACAGGAGAACTTTCAAATCACTAGTCCTCCTGCCAAAGGTTTTGGTCCTCTCCATGCTCTCGGCGGCCACACGGCAGACGTTCTTCCGTGTGTCATACAAGAGTTTTGCCTTTCGCCTCTTTCCGCTGGCATCTTCTGAAGGGCTCCTTAGTCTCTTCTCCGGTGCGTTGCAGCCTTTTTTAACAGGGGTTTCCCCCTTGTGCACCGGGGATGTGTCCCTCTTTTGGGTGGAGGTCGAGCGGGCTCTCAGAGGCGGGGATAGTGTCCTTGGTTTGGTCGCGGAAGATGGGACAGAGGATGAGGTGCGAACAGTCTTTGGTGACGGTGATGATGTATTTGGTGGCATCAATGTAGGTGATGTTGATGTTTTTGTGTTGCTGCTTTTCCAATTCAGCCTTTACCTTGCTGACCCGCTGGATGTCTTCGTTGGGAGCTGAGGCATCAACCCCACAGACGTTTGTAGTGGAGCCCATTACGTCCTGAGTTATTGGTGGGACGCACTGCTGCTTTTGCCTCCCTCTTTCCTTTGCCTACAACCTTTCATTCCCCTTTGCCTACTGTGGGCAAGGGGGCGGCAGGAACAGAGGACTTCGTTGTGGGCACATTTGTGGAATCAGAGGCACTCTTGTCCGACACCGGGTGGCCCTTTCGATGCAGGCTTCTCCGTATAGGGCCGGGTTTGGCACAGTTCCAGCATGTTGGCCTCCTACTCGTCACAATGACGGGCAGCATTCTCCCATCCTACGTTTCTTCTTCTTCTCTCTCTGACACCCATATATATATATATATATATATATATATATATGTTGCCTTTTACCTTGCTCAATATGAGGAAGAGATTTTCTGTTGTATCAAGTATTCGACTTTAAGGAGTTAGAAAATATAAGAGTGTTATTATTATTATTATTATTATGTAAAATCACAACTGCATTAATACTTTAATTGCGGTCAGAGTAATAAAACTCTTACCCATGTCTTTGACGTAAATTTTCTGTGTTATGCCGATTTTTTGTACAAATGTACGTGAAATGCTAAAAAAAATATGTTTTTATCGTCACAATTTGAATGCTGCATTTTGGGATTAAATGAAAGAAAAACACCCATTTTTTAATTTAATCGTCTTCTGGCGAAAGAAGTTGAAAGTTAATTGCTCTCGGGTTTAATTGTCGGACCCACTTTCCATAATATGAGCAAATGACTAAACATTCCTTCTTGTTCGGGCGAGAACTTTTCAGCACCCCTCAACCACACAGACACCGCATCTGTCCTTGATAATGACAATGACTGCGAAAGTCGAAAGTACTTAAACAAATGTCTCTCTCTCTCTCTCTCTCTCTCTCTCTCTCTCTCTCTATATATATATATATATATATATATATATATATATGTGTGTGTGTGTGTGTGTATATATATATATATATATATATATATATATATATATTGTAGACATTAAAATCAAGACTTTAGCTAATGTGCGATGTACTTTTTTAGCTTGTTTGGGTGATTTTGAATAAAATTTCCTAAAAAATCATAGATTAAATTAAATTTCCTGGGTAGTTAACTGTTATCCAGTTTCTAGATTAGACACAGCGATCGTAGAATGGGATCGATTGTAATGTACAGAAATTACCTTTTAATAGCATAAAAATTTTTGTTTCATATTTGTGAAATCTAAAATTCCCAAATCATAATATATTGATCATGTAATATTCGATGAATAGACGTGTGAATGCACTCACATATTGACACATAAGTGTATAAACACACTGAAAACAGACATTGCATCAATTATTTGCAAAAATTCGCACAAATAAAATTGTACATGGATGTAATGAGGTCTGCTATCAAAAATTGGAAGTTGACCAGGATGTATGTGCTCGGGTGTGCCGGTGATGGAATTAGCCAACCGTTTCATGTTTTAAACAAGGGCTTCTCATAAAAAAATAGACACGAGATATTTTTATTCACAGCGTGTTTGCCCTGTGTTACAGCCATGAATTCACAACGTGTAATTTCCGTTAACAGACCTTCCTTTTTGGTTTTAGAAAAAAATCGACACACAGCAAGAGTAAAAGACAAACAACTATTCAACCAGAAATAATCTATCTATCTATCTATCTATCTATATATATATATATATATATATATATATATATATATATATATATATATATAATTTCTATTGAATATATATATATATATATATATATATATATATATGAGAAAACCATATATACATTTTTTATATATCAAGAACATTACTTATACCTAAAATACACACACACACACACACACACATATATATATATATGTAAGTGTGTGTGAGAATGCATTCGCGCGTGTATGCCCATGCACACACATATACACACAAATAGTGGGTAGAATTCATTTATAATTCACGGGAAATGCATTTAATTTTTTAAACATTGTTGAAGGGTTTCGTTCTTTTCAACTCGGCGGCTTGTCTCTGGCAAACGAGATTTATTCTGTTTTTTTTTTGTTGCTGTTCTGCTGAAAGTTTTTATCTCTATTCCCAGATTTGTGACTGATACCCATTTCAAGGAAGAAACCACCCAACATGAAAATTAATTTATGAAAAGAAAATTTCGGTTTTTCAAGAATTAAAATTGTTGATTTGAATGAATTACAGGGAAATGTTTCAGATTAACGAGTCGGAATATGTAGTATTTACAAACAGTGATGGTTTAAGTTAAAACTAAGACAGAGAAACGAAACGAAATGCTTCACTTTTTCGTCAAAGTCAAAGTCAATAATATTAATTTCTCCCTCATCGCAATTTGGTGAAAAACTATTAATTTTTGCCAAATTTTTCTTTGGATTATGTGTGAAGAAAAATGAAGTTGAAGAGAATTTCACTTCTTGATCGATTTTTCTGAAGTCACAAAACGATCGCTTATGAACTAAGAAAGTCATCGATTTTATTTCTAAAGAAATATTCTAACAATTCTAACAATGAAGAATTCTAAAAGCAAAACAAACTAAAATATTTGCTAATTGAAACATCTGCATTCTTAGATATTACGTACAGTATAACTTTATAAGTATATTATATAGTGTTCAACGTGGCTTGTACATTTATTAATAAACACAAAAACATGACAAATATACTTTGGAAACTAACAAATGTTTTAAAAGTGACTTTCTTACTCGTTACACTCATTATTTTTTTTTTACCGCTAAATTGTTTACATTATTAGAAATTTATACTGCAACACAATGAAACTATAAGTTAAAACTAAAAGTATATATTCCTTTATTTCATAATAATTTGAATTTATTTTAAAAACTTTGACTCTCTGGTTTCTAATTTGTTTTATGTTGGGGATTAATTAATTATATAAGAAAAAAATTGGAGGTATCGGTAGTTTTATTGGATGTACCAGAGACATGTAGGACAAGTAAAAGTTTATAAATAATATTAAATTGCAATATGTTTCATGCATTTTCTTCTTTTATATTAGTCAAAGTGAACGAGATACCGAGAAACGTGTTCAATGCAAATTAGCGTTCAGCATTATTTTTAATCGACAAGTGAAGGACAGAAAACAGAGAAAAACAGAAATTTTCAATCTCAGATTTGTGAATTAAAATAAAAATAAAAAAAAAGCAGTAAAAATGTACAACATTAAACTCAAATAAAAAAAGAGGAGACATATTCATTGTGCAAGACGACAATTACTCCTCCTTCTCTCCCTGTCTCTGTAAGATAACCGACTAGACGCTGATGCGCATGCGCATTCTCTTTCGTAAAAATTGTAGCACCGATTCACATCAACGAACATGCGTACAAGCACGCAATTTCATGTGAGCTTTTCTTTAATTTTGCGCTTTTCACATTTCTCTTCAACGAGCATCAACTCTGTTCCCGCCTCCGCGCACATGCCTGAGAATGCCTCCCCGCCATTACCAAGTGCTTCGGGTTGACAAGTGTGAGTTGAGTGCTTCTATTCTTTAAAGCTTTTTTTTATGTTGCTATCTAATTCTTGCAGGAAGGTTTTGATTTTTTAAAAGAAATAATAATAATAATAATAATAATAATAATAATAATAATAATAATAATAATGAAGGTGATGGTGAACCAAGACAAAAAGAACATACCGCTATTTTAACGATTATAATACACAAGTCAGCGTTAAATAATGGCATCAATGAATGACAGGATAATTTTATAATGATCATAACAAAGTAGATCAATAATAATAATAATAATAATAATAATAATAATAATAATAATAATAATACCAGTGGTAATAGGTGCACTTGGAATTATAAAAAATGGAACAAAACAACACATTGAAAGAATCCCTGGAAACCCCAGCTTAAGAGACATACAGAAAATTGTCTTATTAAGTACAGCACACACACTAAGGAGAACTTTGTCTATGTAACGCTAGCAACTTCATCGGAGATAAAAAAAAAAAAAAAAAAAATTAACATGAAATGTGGCCATAACAACACACCACGACCTGCCTTAGGTCTTTCCGCAGACTTGGTAGGTAGTGTGTCCATAGCAGAAATAATAATAATAATAATAATAATAATAATAATAATAAATGAAAGAACTAGAAGCAAAAGAAGAGAAAACAATTTAACAAAAAATAAAAGTTAAAGATGAGGAAGATACAAATTCCTCACAAAGACTTAAGTAAATAAAAGAAATTCTAGGCGGAATGACATGGAGATGACTACGCAAAGAAGATCTGAAGAGAGAAATAAATAACTGACCATAGCTGACCTAAATACGAGCTTTAGAATTCCATCACGGTGAAGATAAATGTCAAAATAAAACAGAAGCATGTAAGAAGAAAGAGTTAAGAAAGGTAAGAAGTGAATATGCGACTGAGAAGGAAACCGTGATTTTCTGGTAGTTATGCAAATGAGTTGTGTGAACCATGGATAGAAAATGGTAGGAACGCAGAATCAAAAGGTAATTTTGAACCTGAGACTGAAACTAGCCATAATTATTGTAAATAAGCAAAATATGTTCTGACGAATCGTTGCACGTGGAGACTGCAGTGGTAGAATTGAAGGAGATTAAAAGAAAAGAAAAAGTTCAAAAAGCGATAACCTTGGAATATGAAGATGAATATTGTTTTCACAAACATTGGAGCGGGATTCATGGAACTTACAATAAAATTAGAAAATTGTTGAAAATATTTAAATGTCAACACTGTTACAGTCAGTGAGAAGGCTCTGATGAAGACTTGCTATCATTTTCTATCTATGATTAATAGATACTAGTGGTGTGAAATATAATAAGGCAATAATAAGGCATCATGATATCAAGTGACAAAAGATAAACTTCCAGCACCCTGAAAGACAATGACAATTTTGACCTAGATAGATTATGTATATGTCACTGAGTAGTAGACATTTTGGTAACATTTTCGGCCATCTTGTGACGTAGTAACAACCATTGTCTGTGTTTCAGCTTCAGACCGTAACGCATGATCTGATAATTTTCAGTGTAATAAAAGTGTTCATTGTAAGTAAATGTCATGTCACAGAGTGGCACGCATATTCATTTCATTCAATTAAAGCCGTTTCAGATGAGTCGGATTCAGGCCATTCCAAATGATTTATAGTTGTTTCAGAGAACTGCTGCGCATGTTGTATGTGACATGTCAATGTTGCTTCCATGATGGCATCAATGATCTAATGAAGATTCATACAATAAAGATTCTTGTAAGGGTAAACCAGATTCCGGATGA